TCCAAGACCTCAGTTCCACCACCTGCACCCTGGAATCCTGCCCTTCCTGGTTCATGAATGTCTCCAGAGAAATAACACAAGGCTGAGTCAGAGCAATGACAAATGCATCCTTGAGTGAGGGGGTGGTATTGCCTGCCTTGAATGAGGTCGTGGTGCATCCAGGAGAAGCTGTTGCTCAACCTGGCAATTTTAGATAACTATCAGTTGGTTTCCAACCTTCCTTTTTTAGGAAAAGTCATTGAGAAGGTGATGGGCCTGCAGCAGCAGAGGGTCCCAGAGAAAACAGATTATCTGGTCCATTCTCAGTCTAGGCTCAGGCCCAGGTATGGAATTAAATCCACACTCATCACTCTTGTGAATGACCTGTGGCAGGACCAGGATAGGGAAAGTGCAACCTTCCTGGTCCTGTATGATCTCTCAGTTGTCTTTGATAAGGTGATCCATATTCTTCTGGATCGTCTTCCAGGATAGGGAAGGCATTGTTTTACGGTAGTTGTTCTTCTTTCTAAAGGTTAGGTTGAGCCCTAAAGACCTCCTTTGTGGGATGCCACAGAGCTCAACACTCTTGCCCCTTTTATTTAACATTAATATTAACTACTTGTTGGTTTGTCTCATTCGTGATATCACCTATCTTTCATTTCCTATACAAATTCCTTTAACTTTTAGCTCAGTCAAAATCTCCCTATGCATTCACAATAGTTTCCTCTTGCCTTGCCTTCTCATTTTTTCTCACTGGAATGGAATACTAGAATTTACTTCTAATATTTTCAGCAGTTCTTAACCCTCCTATGCTACCTTTCAGAATTTCTGCCCATAGGACCTTACCTAGCACATGCTGAAATTGGCTGTCCTGAAACCTAACATCCAATTTCTCTTTCTGTAGTATCTTGAACACCAAGATAACATAGTCATTTGCTCCCAAGATTCCCATTTGATTGATTGATTGATTGTGCGCCATCATGTCATTTTTGACTCCTAGCAACCACATAGATCTATCCCTAACCAGTTCTTTCAGGACTCCCAAGGATGCGCTCATCACCACTGAAACTAAGTCCATCTAAGTCCATGACCATGCTGCTTGTCATCCTCTCCTCTTTCCTTCCACCTTTCCCAGCATTAGAGCCTTCTCCAGAGAGCTGGGACTTCACATAATGTATCTGAAGTGAGATAACTTGAGCCTGGTCATTTGTTGCCTCAAGTGAGAACTCTGGGTTGATTTGTTTGATGAAACAAACAAACTGAAACAAACAAACAATGAAACTCTGGGTTGATTTGTTTGAAAACAACATCAGTTTGTTTTCTTAGCTGTCCATGGTCTTCTCAGGAGTCTTTTCAACACCAAAGTTTAAAGGCATCAATACTCTTCCTATCCTACTTCTTTAAAGCCCAACTTTCACTTCCGTAAAAGTGTCACAGGGAATACCATGGCTTGCACAGTTCTGCTCTTAAAATTCCCATAGTTTTGACTTTTTCAACTGGCTTTTCCTGTTAATAGGATAAGATCTAGGAAAGTCAGACTCCTTGGCTCTTTTTCAATCTTCTAGAAAAAATACAGTCAGTAAGACCACTGAGGAATTCCTGGAGCTTTGTAATTTTGGCTGAGTTGATTTTCCAGTGTTAAAATGTGTAATTGGTCAATACGTTCAGGGGCTCTGGGGGAACCAAAGCTTCTGGAATAGCCTATTTGGACTTAGAGCCACAAACTGTGCAGCCCTGATGCAGTAATGTTAACCCACTCTGCAGAAACTGAATTTCTGCAACTTTGCATTTAATGTGTGTGTGTGTGTGTGTGTGTGTGTGTGTACATACATTTTTTTTTTATCCACACTCAATCGTTACCAATTCTGCGGTGACTGCCTGGACGAGTCCCTGCAGTTTTCAAAGCAAGGTGTTTCGGAAGTGGTTTGCCAGTGCCTCCTTCCTAGAGCAGAGCCCAGCTGGCGAGCGCAGGAGGTGGGGGTTCCGTTGCTTCGCACCTTTTTCGGGCATGCGCAGCTTCCGCATTACTGGCAACTGCTCCCCGTCTCCCATGCAAGCACCGCCAGCATTTTTCCTCCCACCAGGGTGAGAGTACCCATTTCTCTACTCACGTAAGTTTTTGAGCTGCTGGGTTGGCAGGAGCTGGGGAGGAGGCAGGAGCTCACTCTGCTGCGCAGAGGTGGGCTCGAACCGCTGAAGTGTCGACCATTTCTGGCTGGCAACTTTCAGCGTCATTAAGCCGCTGCGCCACCGCATCCCCCATATACATACATACATTTTGTTGTT